TCTCTGCAACTTGTGCCGCATTAGTGGCGTTCCGAGACAAGTTGAAGCATGGTTGAAGGTATTGATTAAAAGTCGTGATGGTATTGTAAAATAAATTATAGGAGAACAAAGGAATGCAATCCCTTTTCGCTCTATGGCAGAGCGCAAATGCTTTTCTTTTGTCAAAACGTTATAGCAAAGTTATAGCACTTTTCATGATCGTGATTTTCCTTTGAACATACCTTTCTTTGATACCATGGACCGAGGTTGTTTACGTATATGTTGGATGTGCCTTTCAGCCTTAACTAGATTCCTGGGTTTACTAATAGTTATACCTGTCCCGCTTCAATCTGATGATACCGTAGAATATTTATATTCCACATAACTTATATTTATATATGTTTTGCAGCAAATTTATATTATTTTACTTAATTTTTTTAATTTTTTTTAAATTTTATTTATTTTACATTATATTTTGATGTATTTTGAGCGATAAATCAGRAAATTTTTGAGCTACAAACACTGGCTACGCAATCGATACGCTCTGCGCATACTCTAATGACGTCATTCTTTAAAACAGGGATCCCATTATTCTATTGAAATTGTGTTGCACGATTCTTTCGCCTTTAAAAATGAACATAAACAATAACTCACATGAACATACCAAATCAATGATTTAGCTTCTTAAAACTTTACAGTCTTTAACTTCTTAATATTTTTTGTTTACATAGATTTCTTTTAAGGAAATAAACCTAATATTTGCTTTCTATTTTACTAGCTAGCACTAGCCACATGCAGTCCTAGACTGCGTATTTTTATTTTTTTTATTGATASCGCCGCCCTCTCCCCGGTTCCGCCGTCCATGATTCTTTTTCATATCTTCAATTAAGGTATTAGTCCAGTCGCTCAGGGACTGACTACAAAGTATTTTTTTGTATTTTATTAATTCAGAAAAGACTTGTATATCTATATCTTATATGGGAAGGAAAGTTAATACGGAATACGTCATATATTTCTTCATTTCGTTAAGTTGCCAAGTGAAAAAAAAGAGATCGCCTAAAACCGGGACGGGGACGTGGGGCGTAGGACGCGGGACCAGGACGCGAGATATGGATGTACTACGACGAAAAATTCCTTGTTTCGTTTTGTTAAATTGAAAATAAACCGATAAATACTCACATGACTGCTTTATATCCTGACAACAGAACTCTTRGATCAATAAAAATGAGTTACTTAGTAGGTGCTTTCATCGCCATTTCTTTCCAAGTTTTTACAGTTTAAAAACCTCTGACYCAGCAAAACTTGATAGTCAATATACCGAATTACACAGGGAGCCCTAACTAAGGCGTTGCTTTGGCGCCAAAATCATCATTGCGGAGATGGCGGACTTCATTCTTGTGAGCGACTGGAGTAGCGGTAATGATTTAACCAATGACCTCTATTAATTACACTCTTCTGTGCATAGGAATTACTGTTATATAAATGTATGCCTGCCATTCATAATGCCGAAAAAACACTGCAGTTTTCTTGGAATTGGATGGCAAATTAATCCCTGGTGTTTTCAGCTTTCTGTAGACTGTAAGTATAGATAAGATGAATAGCTTCTTTAAATTGTTTGATTATTTTGTACAGACGATGAAGATCTTTTAACAAGTATGTTCTATAACTCCTCGCCACAAGAAGCAAAAAGGTAAGCTTAGGAGTAAATTGATCATCATAAAAGTGACCTGGTGTTCTTATTATCCGCTTTRACGCTACTTTCATGAAATCKTAAGCTGGCAGAACAATTAAGTACTTATAATTCATTTGAGCTTAAATAARTTCTCGCAGATTCAACACCCGAAAATATATTTATAAATTGAAGTGAGGTCGAACACAACATGTGAGCTAAAAATAAGCGGGGAGCTAGGCCATTAYATCACACAGGGACTGCCTGTGCTGTCGGGTTTATACTCCAGTTTTTAATTCTATTTTTTCAATCAAGCATAAATTTTTATTTTCTTCTTTGTAAACAGTGTGTTAATACATTAAAATTGATTCTCTGCTTAATGAAAGAATATATTACATGATTTAAAGGTCTGCACATTTAGGATCAC